TGTAATAAATTGGTTTCTAAACTCTCCCTTATTCTATCAACAAGATAGAGCTAACGGTCGCAGGAGCCACCATGAGATATATGTATAGGGTTTCACATTTTTTTGGTTTGTACAAGATGGGTGCCAAGGCTAGGTACGTATTAAAGTGATCGAAAGCTTTCTGGCATTCGGGGGTCCAGGTGAAACCATCCCTCTGTTTCATAACTTGGAAGAACGCCATCAACCTTTATGCTAATTTGGACATGAACCAACTTGGGAGGCTAGCCTCCCGTTAAGACTTTGGATGTCTTTTATGGATTTCGGGGGTTGCATGCATGTCTAAAATGATTTGCGCTTTCTCTGGTTTTACCTCGATTCCTCGGTGGGTGACCATGAAACCTAGGAATTCCCTCCCCCCATCCATTTATTGTGAACACATTTTTTTTTTTTTTTTTTTTTTTTTTGGGTTTAAATGGAGATTATGTTGCTCTATTACATATATGCTCTATTAGATAATATTATATCATGAAATTATCACATTAGAAACTATGATATTGATTTTATGCCTATTAAATTCTTACATATTTACTAATTAGCTAGTGAAATCCCTAATTAGCATACTAATTAGTAATTACTACTTAAAATATTTTAAAGTTGTAAAACATTATTTATTTCAAATTGAAAAAATTTACCCTTACTATTTAGTAGTTGTAGTTGCAATTTTTAAACTTATTCTTATTAATCGTATTACAATATTGATTATTGATTTCTTTATTTTCTTGTAATAATTCTTAAGTTAAATAGAAATATGTGAACTTGTAAAACTAATTTAGAAAGAATAAATAACTTTAATTCGTCGATTTATAATTTTTAATATTTTTTTATTTTTTATTTTTAAGGCTATGGACTGGGCCAGACTTGAATTTTTATTCTTGGATCGAGCCAAACTTGATTCAAACTTTAATTAGACTACGCTGGCCCGGTCTAATAAATGGGCCAGTGGTGGGCTGGACAAGCCCGACCCAAGCTCGCCCGTTTAGCATGGGCAAATTATTGTGTGGACCGTGATTCACACATCTATGTGGACCACGATCCAAAATATCGTCGTGAATATTATGAGTAAAAATAATATACATTATGTGTTAGAAAAATGTACATTATGTTTTAAAATAATGTACATTACATGTTAGGATAATGTACATTGTGTGTTAAAATAATGTACATTACATGTTAGAATAATGAAACATCTAGGGTAATACAATGTACATTATGTTTTAAAATATTGTACATTATGCTTTTGAATAATGCACATTATGTTTTAGAATAATGTACATTATGAGTTATAAAAATGTATGTTATAGCTGGGCACGCGAAAAAATAAAATTAAGCAAAATGACATCGTTTTTGGGTCGTAGTCCACACCGCTATGTGTACCACGGTCCATGCAATAACTATTGTTTGGCATGTAACACTCCAAAAATTTTCAAATAAAAATTTCCATTTTTCTAAAAAGATTTTTCGAGTATTATTATTATATACTCCGACAACCCTCATTATTATTATTATTATTATTATTATTATTATTATTATTATTATTATTATTGTTGTTGTTGTTGTTGTTGTTGTTGTTGTTGCTGTTATTATTATTATTGTTTCATTCCAAATTTTATAAAACTTGATATTTTATTTTTCAAACCATAAAGCTAAAGTTTGTGATTTAAAATATTATGGGAGTTTATGATTTCATAAGCCCTATCCATATACTAAAACGTTCTTTCAAAATTATTAGTCAAAAGTTTATCTGAGAGGAACTTGAAATCCTGACACTATATATTTTGAGTCTATTTTTAACTCAAAACCAAAGTAACATATTTTTATACGAACCATGTTTTATTTTTACCAAAACTTGATTCAACTTTTGACCCGAAATTATAACCCAAAGACTTAAAACATAATTTCCTATTCTACCCATTCATGGTAGCCATTCCTCTCCCCATTCAAATCCCCTAGGGTTTTGTGCCCTATAAATAGAATAGTATTCTTCATTTGCCTCTTCATTCCTTCCCCATTTCTCTTCTCCACCTCTTCCATAGCAAGATCAAGTGTAGCAAGAAAGGTTTCAATAGTAAGCTTCTAACATTCCCATCTCTTTCCTTTCTTCCATCCATCTTATTTTTCCTCTTTTGCGTTCCTACGTGTTTATGTATATATCTATGCTCATATATGTGAGTTTGTGTTGTTGTTGTTCTATGGTTGGTTTGGGTTCTAGGAGGTGGTGAAGGAGGGCACTCTTGAGGTTTTTGATGAGGGATCTTGTGTTGGATTGCTAAGCTAAAAGGTAAGACTCCATGTAAGCTCAAAACCTAGCTATTTTGCCCTATTATATGTATATGTGTGTTGATATTTGTTTTTCACTGCTTTGGGTCAATAAAATGGTTCTAAAATGGTGCTATATGGTGTGCTTTTGAAATGTAGACATGGAAATAGGTTGATAATGTGTTAGGGTTTGTTGTGAGGGGTATGGGTACGGTTTTATTGAAGTTTTGGTGCTAATGGTGTTGTTTTGGAGTTGATATGCTAAGGTAGACAAAGCTACTGCCTCACACTGTCCTATGACCATGCAGAACTAGTCACAAGCTAGAGTGGCTGGTGGACTAGCCCCGCAAGGAGGCTGTAGGAGGAGGCGACGGTTTGCTGTGTATCGCCACCTCCTACCGCCAACCGCACGCAAAATTGTGGGAGTTCTGCCGCATAGTTCCGCAAGGGCTTGCTGATGTGAGCCTAATTGTGCACATTTTTAGTATTTATTTATCTATAATTGTTAGGCTTAGGATCATGATTGTGATAATTTAATTGCATAATCCTTTATTTTATTATTTAGTTGTGGTTCACACTCGTTTTGAATGTTTTACGGTGTTTGTTAGTGTTTTTGAACCATTGTAGGTCAAAGTTATGAGCAAGGGGAGTTCAAGGATGAGTTTGGAGTAATTTTGGACAAGTTCAGGGCCAGGGGACTCAACGCGTTGAAATTTTACAGAAGCAATAGTGTCCGAGACCTACAGGGCTCGACGCGTCGAGCACAAAGAAGCAGTAGACGAAAAAATGACGCCTAAGGTTCGACGCATCGAACCTGTCCAATAACTGCCTCCCAGATTTTTAAAAGGTGATCGACGTGTCGAGCGTGAATACGGCCCACCAATGCGTTTCAGCCCGTTTTCGCACGGAATTTTCCTCCAAGATTTGATCCCAGCTATAAAACCCCACATTTCTCAACACTAATGGAGATAATTCAGAGAATATAGAGATCTTTGGAGACAAGAAAGAGAGAAATCAAGAGCCACAAGTTGTCTTGGGGATCAAGAAGAAGACTAGGGAGATTTGAGAAGATCGTCTGGTTAATTCTTGTACTCTTTTGATGATTTGTAATTCTTTATTATTATTTTCTATGTATAATTTAGCCATGCTTGGCTATATTCTTTAGAGATTCTTGGGTAAAAGTGTTTATGAACCTATGTTCCTAAGCTCCCAGTTTCTTTAATATATTATTATTTGGGTTAGCTTGTGTTGCAATTGTGTTTTATATTCTTGTTGCTAGTAGTTCAGAGCCCGAATTACTTGCTTCATAGCTTTGTTTGTGTCACAACGAGAGTTGGGCATAACTTAGGGCACACACAATTGCACCTAATTGTTGCACCTTGGGAAAGGGTAATTTAGTAGGGGGATTTAATTCTTGATTATTGCGCATCGAGATATGGTAGTAGTTAGGAATTTATGATGCTTGATCTTGTTTTATTGGGTGTTTAAGCCACGAGAGTGGAAATTCACTAGTGTTTGTGACTACGAGAGTAGCTCTATACCACCTTGCATCCTCACACTTGTTAAACCCAGATTTTAATTTTGTCATTAAGATTTGGCACTAGGTGATTAGACACTTGAATCCTAGGAATCTCATCTTCTTTTTATTGTTTTCAAGACCCTGAATCTCTGCTTTATTTTATTTATTTTATGCAACCAATCATCCAATCAATTGTTAGGATTAACTCTAATGAATAAATTTGTAACTAGTTCTTGATACAACAACTTCCCTGTGGATCGATAACTCGTACTCCGAGTATCATTTGTTTGCAAATATACTACGCATCAAATTGACGCCATTTCCGAGGAAGTGGCGCTCAGTATTAACATTAGTGAAATATTTATTTTAGGAGTCTAGTCTATTTTTATTTTTTATTTTATTTTTTTTGCTAACCCATAACAAGTTCTTTGTTCTTGAGTGTGATTTTGCTTTGAATCTAAGAACTTGACTTTGTCTGCCTACACGATCTTTTGGGAAAGAATGATTATTACCTTTGAACCTTGTGATTGAGAAAAGAGCCAAGTTTCTTTGAAAACAAACTAGGATGACACAGGTACAAGGAAACCAAGTTGAAGAGAGATCAATGTCTTATGGATGTTGAGGAGCATGGTAGCATCAATATTCCAAATGTAGAGGCCAACAACTTTGCGATCAATCCGGCCATTTCAACATGGCTGCGACGGATCGATTTGGAGGTACACCCACAGAGGATCCCAATGCTCACATCACCAAGTTCCTACGACTTTGTGGCACCTGGGATGAATGGAGTCACTCAAGATGCTATCAGACTTAGGCCTTTCCCCTTTACACTGAAGGACAGGGCTGATGATCGGTTATCCTCACATCCAGATAACCATTTTGACACTTGGGAAAAATTACATGGAGAAATTTTGAAGAAGTTCTATCCTATCTCCAAGACTCAAAGGATGAGAAGGGCAATTCAAAACTTTAAGCAACTGGCAACTGAGTCCATCACTGAGTCTTGGGAGGGATTTAAGGAGTTGAAGAGGCAATGTCCACACCATGGGTTTCAAAGTTGGGATTTGATGATGTCTTTCTATGAAGGATTGCTTGATAATTCCAGGATTTTGGTGGATGCTTCTTCGGGTGGTTCGTTCACAATTCTAGAGCCAACACAAGCCGAGGAACTTTGGAAAAAATTGCTATGAATGGATCTACTTGGTACACGGAGAGGTCTCCACAAAAGCTTGTAGGAGGAATTCATGAGGCGGGGCAATTAACCGATTTGTCAACAAAGTTGGATAATGTGATTTCCATGGTTCAAAAGCTTGCCCAAATCACCATCCAAAAACACAATGTGAGTCATGTTTCTAACCCTCCTACTCTTGGTCAAGTTTTGATGTGTGAACTTTGTGGTGGTGGACATAAGCCAGTGGATTGTCTCAACGAGTTAAATTCCCAAACCTCTATGGAGAAAATTAATATGGTGGGATATAATAGGCCTCATCAACAGTCTTTCCAACCTCAAGGAACCTACAATCCTAATAATTCAAGGAACCACCCCGGTTTTTCATGGAGTAACCCAATGGGGGCTGCCAATCCCCAACACTTTGTTAATAGAGGTCCTCCAAGTTTCCAAAGTACTCAAGTTCAATCTCAATTACCCGCTTCGGAGGCCCCACCACAATCAAATTTGGAAGCTATGATGGAGAAGCTACTTAAGTTACATTTGCAAAGTGACGAGAGGTATAGGCAATTAGCGGAAAGGGTGGATCAATTGAGTGCCCATAACAAGATGCTTGAAAATCAACTTGCAAAGCAAGCCTCTACATCTAGCACCAGAGTCACAGGGAAGTTGCCAGCTAGTACTGAAAATCCCAGGGAACATGTCATTGCAATTGGCACTAGGAGTGACAAGGTTCTTGAAGAGCCATCTCCTCCTATCAAAGCATCAATTCCAACTAGAACTGTTGAAGAGGAAATAGAAAGGATACTTGACAGAGATGAGGATGAGCCAATTGTTGAGAAAAATAACCCACAAGTCATTGATAAAGGAAAGAAGACCGTACGAAGGTATGAAAATCCCTTGCCATTTCCTCTACAAGAAACAAAGAAAAGTAGATGGACGAAATTTTTAGAAATAGTTGAAAATTTGAAAGTTTATGTCCCTTTACTTGATTTGCTCTCCCAAGTTCCCTCCTATGGAAAATTCTTGAAAGAAATACTTGCCAAAAAGAGAAAATATGGGGAACATGAGATGATTGCAATGACACAAGAGTATAGGGCCTTGACACCCAGAGTTGGAAGAAGAGTGACTAAATATAAAGATCCGGGGAAGTTCACAATTCCTTGTATTGTTGGAGGTCGTCCTATAAAAGGATCCCTTTGTGATCTTGGAGCCAGTGTCAGCGTCATGCCTCTTTCACTTTGTATGAAGATGAATTTTGGAAAGCCAAACCCTATCAACCTCACATTGTGCATGGCGGACCAGTCTACTTCAACCGTTGTGGGTATACTTGAAGATGTCGCTGTTCGCGTGGACAAATATTGTCCTTGTTGATTTCATTGTAATAGATGTTCAAGAAAATCTAGAAATTCCACTCATTTTGGGGAGACCTTTCTTGGCCACAACCGGAGCATTAATTGATGCTAGAAAGGGAACGATGATTTTTTATTTTGGAGAAGAAAAAGTTGAATTCAATGCCTTCGAGGAGAAAAGTTCATGCAACATGGTTCATCTAATGAAGTGGGATGAAGACAACCTCGAAAATCAACCGGGTTGAGCACTCCATAACCAGGTTACGTTGAGCTAACGACGTTAAATTTAGCGCTTCATGGAAGGCACCCCATGTTATCTTTTATTGCTTTCTAGTTTAGTTTTATTGCTTTCTAGTTTCGTATTATTTTAGTTTTATTGCTTTTTAGTTCGTCTTATTTTTTCTTTTTCTTTTCTCTTGTTCTCCTTTTCTTTTGTTTTGCATCAAGGACGATGCAAATTTTTAAGTGTGGGGAGGAGTCAATAATTTGGGGTAATTTTTAAAATTTTTGCTTTTGCTTGGATGACTCATATGCTATTTTTGGTGAATAAGTTACTTGTCTTAGCATGCAATTGCAATTACTCTCTCTTTGTTGGTTTGTGGTTTGTTTTTGTGGTGCTTGCTGCATCTCAATTTGTGATTGATGATTTGAGGTGTAACACATAATTAATCTATTCCCTTGCCAATAGCTTTGTTAACCGCTTAATAATTGGATTAATTCTTGATCTTGTGTGTTATGCATTGCTAGTAAATGCTTATGTGAGATTCCGGTCATCGGTGTTTTGCTAGAACTTGCCTCATTACTCTCTAAGTGATGTCTAAGTTTTGCATGTTTTGAAGTGATTTAGGCCATTTTTGTTTAGCCATAGCCTTTAAACCTGTCCCTATATATATTTTTATCCTTTGTGTCCCCATTGTGTCTTTTGTTTGTTTAAATAAGTGCTAAGCACTTATCCCCTCATTGTGATTGTTTTTCTTTGATTTACCCCCATTATTATAACCCTTAGCCCTTGGCAAAATATTTCCCTTCCACCCTTTGAGAGAATGGAACTTTTATCTTTATTATTTCTGCAAGAAGAGTTTTTATGGAGTTGTGCCTAAAAGCAACTAATGTTACAAATGTTCAAGTGTGGGGTTCATGAAAGTTTGGATTAAAATTATCTTGCTGAATCCAAAAGAAGTCCAAAGAAAAGAAAAGAATGAAAAAAAAAAAAAGATTGAAAGTTTTTGAGTTTGGACCCCCACTTTACCAAAGAGCTGCTAAGTTCTTAAAAGAAATTTGCTCCTTGAAGTTATGATTATCTCATCTCTTCCAAATTTTGAAAAGTTTAGATAAATTGTGACATTCTCTCTTTTTGATTAATTTTTCCATACCACTTCTTTGTTAGCCATCACCCGTAGCGCCATTACAAGCTAAATAAAGTCCTATTTGATCTTAGCATGCATTCTTAGATTTGATCTAGGGGAGTATGAAGGGCAAGCCTATGGGATCTCATTCATGAGCCGTGTCTTGCATAATCTCAACTGAGTACTTGTTCACACTTGATCCTCACATACTTTAAATTCTTGGTGCTTGGTTATTGTCTTGAAAATGGGTCTTATGTGCCAAGCTAATTTGATTCTTGAAGCTTGTTGTTTTGCAGTGAGTTGGTTGGTGGTTTGAAAGGTTGTGCAAGAGAGAGTATGAGTAATTTGTATGTTTTGATTTGTGATTTATTTATTGGTTTTTGCTTGAGGACAAGCAAATGCTTAAGTGTGGGGGAGTTGATGTGAGCCTAATTGTGCACATTTTTAGTATTGATTTATCTATAATTGTTAGGCTTAGGTTCATGATTGTGATAATTTAATTGCATAATCCTTTATTTTATTATTTAGTTGTGGTTCACACTCGTTTTGAATGTTTTACGGTGTTTGTTAGTGTTTTTGAACAAATGTAGGTCAAAGTTATGAGCAAGGGGAGTTCAAGGATGAGTTTGGAGTAATTTTGGACAAGTTCGGGGCCCAAGGGACTTGACGCGTCAAAATTTTACAGAAGCAAAAGTGTCCGAGACCTACAAGGCTCGACGCGTCGAGCGCAAAGAAGCAGAAGACAAAAAAACGACGCCTCAGGTTCGACGCGTTGAACCCGTCCAGTAACTGCCTCCGAGATTTTTAGAAGGTGCTCGACGCGTTGAGCGTGAATACGGCCCACCAATGCGTTTCAGCCCGTTTTCGCGCGGAATTTTCCTCCAAGATTTGATCCCAGCTATAAAACCCCACATTTCTCAACACTAATGGAGATAATTCAGAGAATATAGAGATCTTTGGAGACAAGAAAGAGAGAAATCAAGAGCCACAAGTTGTCTTGGGGATCAAGAAGAAGACTAGGGAGATTTGAGAAGATCGTCTGGTTAATTCTTGTACTCTTTTGATGATTTGTAATTCTTTATTATTATTTTCTATGTATAATTTAGCCATGCTTGGCTATATTCTTTAGAGATTCTTGGGTAAAAGTGTTTATGAACCTATGTTCCTAAGCTCTCAGTTTCTTTAATATATTATTATTTGGGTTAGCTTGTGTTGCAATTGTGTTTTATATTCTTGTTGCTAGTAGTTCAGAGCCCGAATTACTTGCTTCATAGCTTTGTTTGTGTCACAGTGAGAGTTGGGCATAACTTAGGGCACACACAATTGCACCTGATTGTTGCACCTTGAGAAAGGGTAATTTATTAGGGGGATTTAATTCTTGATTTTTGCGCATCGAGAGATGGTAGTAGTTAGGAATTTATGATGCTTGATCTTGTTTTGTTGGGTGTTTAAACCACGAGAGTGGAAATTCACTAGTGTTAGTGACTACGAGAGTAGCTCTATACCACCTTGCATCCTCACACTTGTTAAACCCAGATTTTACTTTTGTCCTTAAGATTTGACATTAGGTGATTAGACACTTGAATCCCAGGAATCTCATCTTCTCTCTATTATTTTCGAGACCCTGAATCTCTGCTTTATTTTATTTATTTTATGAAATCAATCATCCAATCAATTGTTAGGATTATCTCTAATTAATAAATTAGTAACTAGTGCTTGATACAACCACTTTCCTGTGGATCGATAACTCGTACTCTGAGTATTATTTGTTTGCAAATATACTACGCATCATTTGCGAAACTCTTGGGCAGAACTACCTATTTCCAACCGAAGCTTCGGCCCGTTTAGTAGGCAGACTCGCCAGAGCCGCAACGCGAGTCTGCCCGGACTTGAGTTGTGTATTATTTTGCCTAATCCCATGACCAAAACCTATTTTAAAGTACGTGGATTTCTTCCATTTGTTTTGTTAAGAGTGTTTGGAAAGCCATTTTAAAACATTGAGTATGTGTTAATGCGACGATTGGGAACTACTACTTTTGAAAGCTTTGATATCCATTTACTCTTACAAATTATCTATGTGGATTCTATTATTATATGTGTGTATACAAATGCTTACGTTTTGAAATACAAAATGATAATAATTTCATAGCATAAAGGTAAATCAATTTAGTTACCTATATCTATACGAGTATGAAAATAAGCCTAAGGGCTATATTTTGAGAAGTATAACCTATTAGGTATTTATATTATTATTATGAATTTTGATAACTATTTGGGAGGACTTATACCTATATTATTATATGTATTTGGAGGACGAATTATTATGATATGATAGGGGTTGTGATCCTATTAATAGTAGTACTTTCTAAGAAATTGATTAAGGTGGGGTAACCTGGTAGAAAACATCCTCTATTACTAGGGCTAGTTTACTACCAACTGGGCTTGGGCTTGGAATCCCAGTTAGAGGGTGTACACACATAATGTAGTGGTCCTGTTTTCAAAAAAAAAAAATAATAATAATTGTGGTAAGTGGGGGTTTTGTGAGGTGTTCCATGTGGGGTTTACTTGGGACTTCACTGTGGTGATGATCTTGCCCCACTATTGTGATATTGAGATATTATATACCTCCTATATATGCCAAGGACCTTATGGTCTATTGGCACCAAGTTACTCCCTTAAGTGGGAGGCAGTGGGATCGAGCCTCAGGAAGCGATATTGGCTCTTTGAGCTTCAATTGGTTGAGAAAGTAGTTATGAACAGATATTACATTGTAATAGAGTCACTAAGCCTATGAATATCAGGGTGCTATGCCACATGAGAACCTAAATGCGCAGGCTAAACTAACTAAACAAGCATAAACTATAATTAGTCTCCATACTACAATCCAAATAAACTATAATTAGTCTCCATAATACAATCCAAGGCTCACAGGCCATCTAACTAGTCTCCATACAGGCCATCTAACTAATACTAAACTATCTAAGCTAGCTCACAGGCCATAATCCTAAACAAACTCTAGCTTTAAAACCAAGATCAAGACTCAAAGCATAACAACAGGTTTAGCATTACGAATCATCATAAAGACACTAGCATGCGTCCTAACTCACAAGATACAATAACCACAAAGCTCAGCAATAACAACAACAAGGCACAATGACAAGCAAAGCCAACAACAACAATAGTATCACAATCCAGCCTTATTCCAAGTTCCAACCTTTACTCCTCTCCATCCTTATATCAGTTCCAACCTATATCTCCAGGCCACCCTTATAACGCCACCCCCTTATCCCTCCGGAGCACTTCATGGCTCCCCTCCAACATATCTCTAACATACCACCGATCTGATAGCTCCGCAGTACCATTCACATGATCCGTGCCTCTAACACCACTACCAAGGGGTCAGCACATATAGCTCTGACATGGCACCGCAGCGTTTATAACTTGACCAATGCCTTTATCAAGTAAGTCAAGGTGGTCCGTGCCTTCAGCACGATAACCGAATGGTCTGTGCCTTTAGCACAATAACTGGGAACTCGTTGTGCCAAACTCCAATAATCTTTTTCCACCAATCACATCCCTTTCTCATCAGGTACAATCAATCCATCAACACACGCAACAACAATAGTGGCCACCGCTCAATAACAACAACAACCAATGCATATCAACACATAACAAG